ACAGCTGTTAATTAATAGCCCATACAGCCAATGGCAACCAGGGAACCGACATTTTATGGTTGAATCCGAACAACATTTGTGCCTTTTAACTAACCAATTGGTCTAATTATCAGGATAGTACAATGATAGCGCTGCGGATAGTCGTAGTTACTAGTGCGGGTATCTTTTATTTATTTATTTTTTATTTATTTATCTTACCCATGATATAATTTAATCTGCAAACACACTTTCAGTACTATGTGCTTATAATAAGAAATCACTCAATTTATAATACATTCAAAAAAGCTCACTCTTATCGTAGTTGTTCTACTCAAATTGCATAATTTTATACTATGTACTATTCATCGCTGTTCCTAACAGGATAATATTACAAACATTATCCTAAAGGTACGTTATTATGTTTACAACGACAGTACCTAATATGTGAAAATAAGCCTTCTGCCCCAATAAACACTGTACAAGGCCCTTACTACTTCTAATTTGGTAATTTATGCATTTTTGGCTATTTTGTTATAAATTCACAAAGTAATTTGCAAAACAGTAAAACATTTCATTGTTTAACACAAAGTTTTTTGTAAAATACTTACTACTGCAATGTTTTTGTGCCAACTATTCCATTTAATTAAGTACTTTATAGTACTTTTGCCACATTTTGGTGATTCAAATGCCTTGTAACGTAAGCAGTTTATATCCGTTAAGCCTGACTCTTGCCCCCCCCCCTGGTAATGCCCTTACCCCGACCCGTGTACCAATTTATCCCTTGTACAGAACCGTGTATCGTGGGCTCATGGTACATCGCTCCACAGACAGCGCTGGCAAACTGTGATAAATTACACTTCATACTTGTTTTTTCTTGTATGTTTTTTAGTTTAGAATTAATAAATGGGGTACTTTTTCGTGTGTGAACACGCTATTATTATATGCATGCTGGAGCACAACTTTTTATTATTTATGTACAACACTTATTTTATTCTTGTGAAATAATGGTATTTTACCAAGGCGTATAATATAACGTATTAACTTGTATACACCTTGGATTTAAAGAACAAACAGAAATGCATAATATCAAATACAGGCATAATATAAGGCATACAAATAAAATACAGGCATAATATCAGGCATAAAATTAAGGTTTAGACATACTATAAATAAAAGAAGAACAAATTTATTCACAAATCCCTTATCGTTAGTAACAACTTTAAAATTTTAAGCCTGCTTTAAGAAGATTCATATACGGTGGTTTTAGTGCGCTCGTGTGGACTAATGTATATACTAAAAAATTGATTCAAGACTTTTGACAGCTAGCCTGACCATGCTAATGGGCCGAATTACACGCGGTTTGTACCAAATGAAAGATATTTCCTGTAGATGTGCAGAATCTCTTTATAAAAAAATAGGCTCAAAAAAAGCAAGAAAAATGAATTTAAAATTAACAAAAGAAAATCAAAGTGGGCCTTATGGGTTACCATGTTGGTGAAGAAATAACAAAAAATATAAACAAAAATAGAGAAATTCCAATCCAAGTGTTTCCAGGCGATCCAGGTTTAATATATGATTTTACTCAAAATTCACCAGTTTCGAATGTCGCACCCTCCCTAGACTAAGATTTCACCCCGAATGTAAGATTACCCGATAAGTCGAACCAGGCGCTCAGCCAAAAGCTGTTAACGCCGTTGCATTTACATTTAAACGGAATTTAAGAGGGGCGCTTTTGAGTCAAGTCGTTAGGAGGGATTTGAATAGAAGCTAATTTACAGCACTCTTTTTTCAAAATAATTTACTATCCAAGACAAATATACTTGTTAAATATGGAAAATGGTTAATAGTGGTGGAAATGTATTGTCCAGGCTTTCTCGCTTTTTCCATTGTAATATTTACGCCAACCCAAATTCAAACGATTAAAATGACAAACTATGATCTTTTCTACGTGTTTGAAGGTGAATTGTGTACATATGATTTAGTTTTGACAAAAGCTATTCACTTTTTTCAGAATTGAACCGGCTTTCATTTATAGCAATACGTTTATCAAATAGTGTCCTGTTAATTTTAATTACAATAAATACTGTTGAGCCATTGAAAAATAAACATAAATCGGTTTGGTGTTTATGTATTAGTATATCAAATTTTAACAAATGTTTTTAGGTAAATCAGTATTAAAGAATTATTTTAATAAAGTAGTTCCTGTGTTTAAAACAGTATTTCTCCAACAATTTTGGAATTTCTTCACCAAGTCTCGGATTCCAGAGAGGAAATTGAGTCGTGAGTTACAATAGTTACATTTCAGGAGCTCACTTTGCCTTACTACCTGTTATTACCGAAATAACTTCTCGCCACGGAGTCGGGCGTTGAAATATCACCTGTCTGTCTGTTGTGCGGTTTGCAATGTTTAAAAATAGAAACCAGCTGTTTGATTAATAAGCAGGCTTAGTGGTATCCTTGACTTTGGATATCAACTACTCTTCCTCTTAAAATTGGAAGCAGTTTTAATGCGAATTTCATGTTTGGTTGCGCTTTTGTAGACTAGATCCCTGATTTCGATTTAAATGTTATAGGGTGCGCTACACATCACCAATATAGTTTTTGCGATTTTAAAATAGTATAAGTTTAATAACAGTAAATATTAACAAGCTCTTTTGTGCTTGAAGGGTATACACATTTAAAGAAGACAAATCTTTAAGGGACAGTGTTGTATCTTTGTTTTAACAACTGTTACATTTATCTGTACATTAAAATATTCAATTCATAGCTGTTTGATTTTTTTTACTAGAACTGTCTTTGTCTTGTGATGATGACAAGATGGGAAAATTAGTTGGCATTAACTTATTCAAACATTATCTGTCGTGGTACTCCAAAACCAGCTCCATATTTTACAGGACATGAAAAGTCTTCTAGCAGTATAAGAACTCAATTCTACAGTATCAAAATAGTAGTTAACGCAACGATTGCGTAAAGATAGTGTCGTTATAGTATATTTCGTACCTAGGGCCGAAAATGAGGTTTTGCCGGCTCGAGATAGATTTTAAGTTCGAGACGAAGTCGAGAACTTAAATCGATCGAGAGCTGCAAAACCATTTCGGTCCGTGGTACGAACGCTATTTTTCACCACACTATACCCCATTACCACAATTCATCACTATAATAATGCACACTGAGAGTCAACAGAACTACATCTTTAAAGTTATGCGAAGAAATAATTTGAGGAATCACCAAAAATAAAAATAAATAGTTGCTAGGCAACGGTGACAATACAAAAATTATATTGCAATGCTATGGATTTTGATTGTGTATTTAATATGCATTCATGTTTTACGTAAGTGGGCAGCTGATTTTGCGGCCCTAGGGATGTAAACACCTGCTCGGTCCCCAAATAATGATGCCAGCTGGCATGGCCTGCAAAACGTCACTTTCAGCCCCCAACGTATGTAAAACCCCTAAAAACGTCATAGTGTGGTGAAAACAATATTTACGCGAGTTGCGTACACTAACTTCACCTACGACAGTGTTTTAATTACTAAAAATTACTATTCATAACTTCTAAGAGAGGTTATGTTTTCGTTTATAACCTCTCATTGCCACTGACAGCAATGCAACGAAAACACTACTCATTAACAATTAAATTGGTATAACGGCTGATAAGTTGAAGTTCGAATTATTACAATTTTACTTCTTTTCTCTCAATCCTTGAACCGCATTTGGTCCTTTACTCGTTTTGTAAGTAACAAAACATTGCTGTTAAGTAAGTAAGCGATACTGTAAAGTGAATCTTTCAATTCTAAGAACTGAACTGAAACGGCTAGTTTAAAAAACATTCGTTGGTAAATAAACATAAAGAAGACTGCAATGAACGCTGTAGTTTTAAAAGCTTTTACGAGACACAATTGCTAGTTTCAATCCCTTTAGTTCCCGTAGTGGAGTGTTATTATCCGGTGGCACTTCCGAGGAATTATTCCACAATCAAGACTCTTCCTTCACCTCACGTTATGACCCTAGGGTCGTCACGACAGCCAGTCTAACCACTAATATCAACATCAGTTGACACGGTGCAATCTTTGTTGAATTTGCATACCTCTGAAAAACGGCACATCAACTTTTGTTTTTACTGGGTAGTTGATGTGTTTAAAATGTATATCATATTTTTTTATGGAATTGACATAGTGCACGCCTTGTTATCAAGATGATGCCAGTTCGATACAGAGTCATCAGCTGTTTAATGGATTGTCACTAGATTCAGCTGTTCTTGCTCATTGGGCTTTAAATAAATGGTCCTGGCAAATGGAACAGCTGATCTTAGTAACAAAGCTATCACACTTCATTCTACACTCATCCTTCTTTCATATTTGGGTTTAAATAGGTACGCACCTAGGTGGCGTCCCCAGTCCAAAAAAATATGGTTTACCAACCCAATAACAACGAAAATCTCAAATTTGCTCCTTTTAACCACCACTCATTGCTCATTGCTTCTATGAAAGGTTATATTTTCGTTTTTAATTACTTAGTTTCAAACCTTTTTGTTGTTTCATCCTTAGAATGAAGTTAAGTGTAATTTTATAAATTTATTATTAATTATGTTTACGAAATATATGAGGTTTTAAACAACAAAAAATAGTTATAACCAGCTAGTGTCCAGCAAAATTCATCAGGAATAATCCATGCGTTGGTCCATTATAACCAAAGTAGGGTTGCAAAATTTGTTGCAACTATACTCGTGCGTTAAAGACCTATTTTCCAGACTAGTGACGTAGTGCACCATAATGTAGAAGCTGCCGAGATGACGTTTGTAGACTGCTAATATCTAACATCAGCTGGTTCTTGATTACAAGTACATTGATCCAGGACAACTGGGACCAGTTTCAAACCGTCCAAAAGCTAATATTCTGAGGATCGAACTGGCGTTCTTTGTATTCTTCGGCAATCATATTGATAGCTAGCATTTTTTAAGGAAATATGCCATATTGGTTATATTTTAAAAGGATGTGGAAATAAACAATTATTAAGGATATTTTACGAGTTTAATTCTTAGCTAACTTATCTATTTGGTTTTTTGTCAGGTACTAGTATTGAAGTTCCCTCTGCACTCGATGTGAACAGATGGTACTTTTGCTGGAGCAGCAATAATATTCTGAAATCAAAAAAACAGACAATTTGACAAACACTGTATGTACAAAAAATAGCTTAATATAAGGTGTTTTTGTGAACAATTTCAATGGTTTTTTTAATCAATTATTAGTTATCAAATTTAATTGATATGGGGATGCCACCTGAGTGGGTATTGAAATTTTTATTTTATTTAAAACAACGATGTACCATGTACTGTTCTATCCTTCTTAAAAATGGTTTAGGAATCTGTTTATGTGATTGTTAAGATTCGATAATAAATATGGTAAACGGATAAGCATTGTACGTTTGTATTCTGTGTGATATTTATTTCAACTTAAACATAAATACGTGTTATCTAATCAAACGTTTTATTTTGCAAGCAAAACTAATAGATACGAGTATTTAAGTATTTTGAAGATAAAAAAAGAGTTTCACCCAACATCCAGGAAAGTTTTTTAATTTTACTTCAAAAAAATCTGCAAATTCAAGAATTTAGGAAAGCTTTTTGACATATTTCTCTTTTTGAGTATTGTAAAGTTTATGTAATATCGATACTAGCCCTAATGGGATAAAACAGTGAGCTAAAAATATCAAATTTCGTTTAAATGTCCTATGAATAAATCTAGAAGAAGGATAAATTCATTAGCAACAACTTATAAAGTTAAACATTATTTAAGGATGCTATTTACAACATACCTCTTCATCATGAGGAAAGGGTCTTCCCTTCCTCTGTATGCAGAGCATTGCCACATAACATCATGATATCGTGCAGTTTTTGTCCAGAGTATTCTTCTCCGTGGACTGAGGGTTCATCGCTTGCCTTCTCTTTGCCACGGCCACCGCGTCGTTGGGGACGTAAGATATCCTCACTCCTCCATAGGCTCTTCGTGGCGGCAACTGATACGCCGACTGATCATCACTGCTTGAACTGGAAGAACACGTGGAGCAAGTGCTGCTTGAATCATCAAAGTCTTTGTAAATGTCAAACTTGTTCTTGTATTTCCTCCTGTTCTTTTTTCTTCTTCGGTCATCACAATGCTTCTTCTCACGAGGAGTCGCTGGAGAAGAGCCTCCTTGAAATCTAACACTTCTGTTCTTCCTAGGAGAAACTTCTTTTTCTGAACTTGTACTTTTTCTATGAAAGTTTGCGTCTTCACTAGAATCACTTAGATAATTGTTATCGTTCACAATTACATTAGTCTCTATTTCTTTATCTTCGGCCTTTGTCAGTATAGGTTCTTCATGACTGTCTACATTAGTAATTACAGTTGTCGGAGCTGACTTTTTAATCTCTTTGAAAACTTCAGAGTCTACAGTAGTTGGTGGATTTCCTAAAATTAGGCTTTTGAATTCTGGTTTGAGATTTAAAAAATCGTTTCCTTCAATTACTATCCTGTCGATGTTCAAGTGGGAAGATTCAACTACCTGATCCTTAATTACTAAATGTTCTACTTGAGATTCTATAGTTACTTGTGAAGGCAAGTTTTCAAGATATTTATTGACTGGTTGACAAAGGGTGTTCATTAAAGCTGAATAGTGGTTCGATATTTCTTTTGATGTTGTAATATTTTCAAGCCTATTTACTCTGGATTCTTTTAAAACCTTAGAATGCACGTCATCATGTAATCTAGTGAGCCCTTCAGTTATTTGAGGTAGACATGAAGGCGTTGGACTTGAAGGTGGTAGAGGTGGAAGCCTTCTTGTGTTAGGGTTGTAAGATATCCTTTCAGAGACTACAGGCGGCTTCACTATTGGAATCTCCTTCATGGAGGTAGTTGAAGATGAACTCAGAAAGTGGTATTGGCTCTCAGGAGGCAGCCGATCCAATTCCCTAGAGAAAGATAAATGCTTTTAATTCAATTGAGTAAGTAGGAGTTTGATTCATCTGTAAATGGAAACAAAAGATAAAGCTTAGCACTGTATCTAGCATTCCAAACCCTAATATCAACCTGTTACTGAAATCAACAGTGTTTGGTTAACTACTTTAATGAGAGTAATAACATTTCATCAGAGTAATATTACTCCTCAATCCTCATTTATAACTTTTATAATTTACAGCATCCGATTTTCACCTGAATCAATATTGAAAACTAGCAGAGTACCCGTCCTTCGTACGGGGTTGGCATATAAGTATAAAATGCTTATTGCAGTTATGGGTGAGGACATGGATTAAGAAAGTTTGGTTCTTTTGTTCTACCACTGCCCCTGAACCATAGAAAAAAGTAAAGGTCTCATTGTGTACCACAGCTTTTTGTGGCTAGTTGGTTCAAATTAGCTGTTGTCATAAATGCAAAAAAATAATAGTGCTGCACCCTGTAGGTAAACCTTAAATCCTGTTAAAGCTATTTAATATCATAGAGCTAACTTGTGCAGTTGAAACAGCTGGCAAAATTCTTTAATTCCTTTTGGATATATTTTTATCAAATTTGGCAAATTTATTTATTCTATACTAAGCTAATAGTATTTTCCTAAAATCACCCTTCGTATCCCTCCCTGTAGCTAGATACTCGTTAAACCTAATTTTATTGAATTAGATTTAGTTGAAAATAGGCTGCAGGTTTGCTGGGGTGGGGGTATTATGGAATTGCAATTGATAGAGAAAGACGACTTTGTGGTAGTACATGATCTACATGATCTAAGTTAAGATACTAAAAAAATCAATCCTGTCGGTCCCAATTAGTAGCGTCGGTCACTTAAAAATTTGACTGGTGCTACTGCAACCAGCGCTACTATTCGTATTCGCTAGCAGCTATACCCGTGCCTTGCAATGGGGTTAGTATGCAAAAGAGTTAATGCTGGTTCTTTGAAAATGCCAAATGGTTTCACTCCCTACCATTTATTTTAGAAACAAAATTGAACTGTATTGGCCTACTTAACTTTATAATAGTAATAGGTCTAGTACTTGTTTGTTAACTCATACTGTGAATACTTATTTAGGCTACCTAGGATACAAAACCAATGATATATTTCAAGGTATAATAAAAGAACCTGTTTAATGGTTTGGACTGTAAACGAATAGCTATCACAATAGTTCCAAACCTGTCAATAGTGTATAGTATTTGACACCATTCCATGTACTGATTTATGTACAATATGAAATAAAGACGATTTGATTTGATTTGATTTGAGTGTAGTTTTCTAACATATTTTAGGGAAATGACAATCAGGCAAATGGAAATTCGCTAGTCTATAGGTTGGCTGCAGCAGGGATATTAAATTACTCTTTACACAAAAATAAATCTAAAACATAATTCTCATACAACTCAGGATAAGGGCCTAGGTTGATACAGCAATGATTGTAGAATCTTAATTATTTCCTTTATCCATGAATTAGGCCTATTTCTTTTTCAATGAAATATTCACTGTAAAATATTATTACAGCATATCACAAATATTAAAACAGACTCAGTATAATAGCTGTCAATGATAATAGATTATAAAAATAAACAAATTATGTAACTGAATGAATCCTATTATAATGAAATGACATTAACATATGGTTTGACAGCTCCATTTAAGTAATGTTAAATAATGTTTACATTTAGGCTAGTGACATCATTATTTTAAATTTATAATCCTTACCCTCTCTGTTCTAATATTCATGCAGTATTTAAATGAATGTTTGAACCAGCTGTATGGAATTGTAAAATCAAAATTAATTTGACAGTTAGTACTGCTTGTTTACATTTTGAAACTTTGTAGGTTTGTTCTTTGTTACCATGGATACCATCAATCAAAATTTACTTTGAAATCTCTCACCTCCGATTTTTGAAAGCCCACGGGGCATAGCCCTAGGACAATATTGAGGCGGGAATAGTTCTATATGTATCCTCGGAACTGTAGCTTCATGTGTGTGCAATTTGAGCCCAATAGGTTCAGTAGTTTTTGAGATTAGCTCATACAAACACACACAGACACCACCTCTTCTTTATAATAGTATAAGATAAGATAACATCAATTACATTTTTACATTAGAATTGTAAATGACATCATGTTTGTTCACCATATTTGTTGTAGTGTCATATTCGTTGTACCACTAGAACTTAGTTAGTTAAATGAATCTTCACGAAATATTACCAAAGTATAAAATTGTATACACTATTCCTCCTGGAAAGGACAAGGAATACTCAGTAGACATAAAGAACCTCCAAACTATTTACATGATATTCAAATCTACTAAGGTTTCTCCTCCTGACTCTGAGACAATGTTTTTTTTTTTACCAAAAACAGCTTACTTTTCTCTCCACGAAATATCTGCCTCATATCCCAAATTTGTTTGTGCGTAATTCGTGGACTCCTGACTTGGTATAGGTGGAAGAGCCCGATGCCTCTGACATTTCTCAGGGAATCTTCGAATGATCTTCTTGTAAGGCCTCACTCCTCTGCTGGGAGTCACGGCTGTAATGCAAGACTTGAGGGGAGTGTTTTCACTGGCCAAGCTGGTGGTGAGTTTAGTAGACACTAGAGAGGGAGTGAAACCAATGACGTCTCCAGGTAATGGAAGCTCTCTGAGACGGTCCGAGGGTGTTGGTGGTTCTCCCTTGCTACAGGCTATGCTGCAGTAGATCGCCCCTCTCCTAGGCAGGAACGGTCGCCCCAGCAGAGATGACCTACAGGTGTGACAACAGAAACACTTCTCTGTGGCATGCCAGTGCTGGCCGTCGTGTGACATTTGACCTGTGGACAAAAGCAAATATGATAGTTATGCTGGAAATAGTTTTGTGATGTTTTGCACTAATTTGATAGTAGTTTAACCGCATTGCCATAAACGTCTACACAGTAGAATCCAATAAAGCAAATTTGAGCTCAATAGAACAACTGAGTAAAAAAATGGTAGCCGCTGGAAGATGCAAAGGAAGATTCACGATATTTGAAAGGCTGCCATTTTTTACTCATTTGTCCGTTTGAGTTCGGGTTTTCAGCAATGTGTTCTGCCAAATACCCTTATCATCAGGCAAGATTGTCATCATGCATTTGTTACTCTTAATAATTTAAGCCAAAATAGTTTCACTCGACAATTCTTACCATGATCAACTCTGATAGGTTCTCCACAAGAGTCGCAATACTCAGCAAACATGGCGTCAAAGCAGGCAAGACAGTAAGGTCTGCCGTCCCTCATGATGTATCTCTGACCTCCCAGCTGTAAGTCACACTCCAGACAGGCAAAGTGCTTCATGTGCCAAGCTCGGCCCTCCGCCTCTGTACACTCGTCCGCTAGGATTATCTGAAAATTTAGTAAACTGTGAGTTTCTTATCGTACTTATCTAATCTTTACTCCTCCAAAGTCGTGGAAACACGTATGTAATTTTTTTTTCATCAAAGGCTGGAGAACTCAAGGAAACCAGTGCAGAAGGCAAGAAATAGAGGGATTGCCTATAGACACATTAAAGAGGAATGTGAAAATAGAAGGAAAAATCCATGCAGGTAATTCAGTATTCCTATCTTAAATAGTTTGCGAACATAGTTTTGAAATTTGTGATCAAAATTAATTTTGGTATTAGAGCACCCAAATTGCATGACATATTTTCAACAGCTATACCAGTAACGTTCAGCCTAGAACTGTCATTGGAAAACAAAAATGTATTCCGTTTCTTAGGAGCTGGTAAAAGAAAAAAAATTTACGTCATATCATCTCAGTAGTTATTGACGACTTTATTACCTCGTCACAGGCAGAACAACGAGGCTTGAGTGTTTCAGCATGATGCCGCCCGCAGTACAACTTGTTGTCTTTGTAGAAGTAGATGAGATCTACCAGCAACTCCTTGCAGACACTACAGACAAAGCAGCCAGGGTGCCAGCAACAGTTGGGTCCAGCACGAGAGGCAAACACTGACATGTCTCCTGTAGATAGTCTCTCATCACACTGTAACACAAGCAGTACATAGTGATGAGATCTACCAGCAACTCCTTGCAGACACTACAGACAAAGCAGCCAGGGTGCCAGCAACAGTTGGGTCCAGCACGAGAGGCAAACACTGACATGTCTCCTGTAGATAGTCTCTCATCACACTGTAACACAAGCAGTACATAGTGATGAGATCTACAAGCAACTCCTTGCAGACACTACAGACAAAGCAGCCAGGGTGCCATCAACAGTTGGGTCCAGCACGAGAGGCAAACACTGACATGTCTCCTGTAGATAGTCTCTCATCACACTGTAACACAAGCAGTACATAGTGATGAGATCTACCAGCAACTCCTTGCAGACACTACAGACAAAGCAGCCAGGGTGCCAGCAACAGTTGGGTCCAGCACGAGAGGCAAACACTGACATGTCTCCTGTAGATAGTCTCTCATCACACTGTAACACAAGCAGTACATAGTGATGAGATCTACCAGCAACTCCTTGCAGACACTACAGACAAAGCAGCCAGGGTGCCAGCAACAGTTGGGTCCAGCACGAGAGGCAAACACTGACATGTCTCCTGTAGATAGTCTCTCATTACACTGTAACACAAGCAGTACATAGTGATGAGATCTACCGGCAACTCCTTGCAGACACTACAGACAAAGCAGCCAGGGTGCCAGCAACAGTTGGGCCCAGCACGAGAGGCAAACACTGACATGTCTCCTGTAGATAGTCTCTCATCACACTGTAACACAAGCAGTACATAGTGATGAGATCTACCAGCAACTCCTTGGAGACACTACAGACAAAGCAGCCAGGGTGCCAGTAACAGTTGGGCCCAGCACGAGAGGCAAACACTGACATGTCTCCTGTAGATAGTCTCTCATCACACTGTAACACAATCAGTACATAGTGATGAGATCTACCAGCAACTCCTTGGAGACACTACAGACAAAGCAGCCAGGGTGCCAGCAACAGTTGGGCCCAGCACGAGAGGCAAACACTGACATGTCTCCTGTAGATAGTCTCTCATCACACTGTAACACAAGCAGTACATAGTGATGAGATCTACCAGCAACTCCTTGCAGATACTACAGACAAAGCAGCCAGGGTGCCAGCAACAGTTGGGCCCAGCACGAGAGGCAAATACTGACATGTCTCCTGTAGATAGTCTCTCATCACACTGTAACACAAGCAGTACATAGTGCTGAGATCTACCAGCAACTCCTTGGAGACACTACAGACAAAGCAGCCAGGGTGCCAGTAACAGTTGGGCCCAGCACGAGAGGCAAATACTCTCATGTCTCCTGTAGATAGTCTATCGTCACACTGTAACACAAGCAGTACATAGTGATGAGATCTACCAGCAACTCCTTGGAGACACTACAGACAAAGCAGCCAGGGTGCCAGCAACAGTTGGGTCCAGCACGAGAGGCAAACACTGACATGTCTCCTGTAGATAGTCTCTCATCACACTGTAACACAAGCAGTACATAGTGATGAGATCTACCAGCAACTCCTTGGAGACACTACAGACAAAGCAGCCAGGGTGCCAGCAACAGTTGGGCCCAGCACGAGAGGCAAACACTGACATGTCTCCTGTAGATAGTCTCTCATCACACTGTAACACAAGCAGTACATAGTGATGAGATCTACCAGCAACTCCTTGCAGACACTACAGACAAAGCAGCCAGGGTGCCAGCAACAGTTGGGCCCAGCACGAGAGGCAAACACTGACATGTCTCCTGTAGATAGTCTCTCATCACACTGTAACACAAGCAGTACATAGTGATGAGATCTACCAGCAACTCCTTGCAGACACTACAGACAAAGCAGCCAGGGTGCCAGCAACAGTTGGGCCCAGCACGAGAGGCAAACACTGACATGTCTCCTGTAGATAGTCTCTCATTACACTGTAACACAAGCAGTACATAGTGATGAGATCTACCAGCAACTACTTGCAGACACTACAGACAAAGCAGCCAGGGTGCCAGCAACAGTTGGGCCCAGCACGAGAGGCAAACACTGACATGTCTCCTGTAGATAGTCTCTCATCACACTGTAACACAAGCAGTACATAGTGATGAGATCTACCAGCAACTCCTTGCAGACACTACAGACAAAGCAGCCAGGGTGCCAGCAACAGTTGGGCCCAGCACGAGAGGCAAACACTGACATGTCTCCTGTAGATAGTCTCTCATCACACTGTAACACAAGCAGTACATAGTGATGAGATCTACCAGCAACTACTTGCAGACACTACAGACAAAGCAGCCAGGGTGCCAGCAACAGTTGGGCCCAGCACGAGAGGCAAACACTGACATGTCTCCTGTAGATAGTCTCTCATCACACTGTAACACAAGAACAGCTGTATTGATGAGATGTACTAGCATGTAGGGTAATGGTCTGAATATAAGGTTGCAGTTACTAAGTGGCTTTAGATTTTTTTACCACACTAAATATTACTGAGTTATCGTCAATGAATACAAAGCGCTTGCTATAGAAGTTTATGACCTACCCCTTCACATGGCATGGGGGCGACGAGTTGTCTCACAGCTCCTCTCCCGAGCGCTTCCCTCTTCCTCTGTGCAGAGAAGAGTTTCAATTCCTTTCGTTCCTCTTCAGAAGGACTGTGGCAGTATCGGACCTCGTTGTCATGCGGAGGCAACTGATGCAGCAACTGTCGAACTCTGTGTCTCTCCCCTGCTGAGTTGACATACGGTACCTTGTCCTCGGGTAGAGATGAGAAGTACAAGTGTACCTACAACATCAAGTATCATGTCAGAGAATGAGACAGTCATGAGGAGGCAACTGATGCAGCAACTGTCGGACTCTGTGTCTCTCCCCTGCTGAGTTGACATACGGTACCTTGTCCTCGGGTAGAGATGAGAAGTACAAGTGTACCTACAACATCAAGTATCATGTCAGAGAATGTGAGAGTCTTGAGGAGGCAACTGATGCATTGTGTCTCTTTCCTGCTGAGTTGACGTATGGTACCTTGTACTCGAGAATGTTGATATAATAAATTTGTAAGGAATGTGAATATCTGAAAAATATGGGTAAAAGTTTAAGTAAAAATTACACCCCCCCCCCTCCCTTGCTGCCCTTACTGACGGTGAAATTAATTAATTTGACTATTTGATCAAATTTAAAACCATCTAACTCATAAAGATTAAAAACAGAGCATTTAATTAGAACATCTAATTCCAAGCCAAGCTCTTTCAAATTCCAAACGAAGAACTGTCTTCGTTCAACTGTATTTTATGGCAAATCTTATCTTCGGATCAGCTTAAGAGTACGCGAGAGGAAGGAGTTCTACAGCGACTTTGTTCCGATTAGCGTTTATAATTAGTGAGACAAGGCTGAGAAACAGAGCTATCAGAAGGCAAATCTCCGACATGTGAATGTAATAAACAGGGATCGCAACAATTATGTCAGTAGCTACACGGAGGCCGACTTGTCATTAACTGATAGCCACTTTGGAACATACTTCCATTACGGGCTGTTATGGAGGTTTATGTCGTTCTAATTGACACAGCTGCTACTTTGACTCTTCGAACTTCCCATCAATACTAAAGGTACTCTGCTTACTTGATTGTAGTTAGTTTAGAGTAGTTAAGGATCCTGATGTGTATTAGTGAGAATTATTTGAGCGTGGACAATAGGGAAGAGGCATGAATGATGATGACCTCTTTGGAAATAACTTTAATTTGGGTAAAAAGTTGTAATGCAGAAGTCTGTTCCCTTATTTGCGTAATGCTTTGCTCGTATTGTTGTCAACACTATAATAGTAACAATATATCTTGACGTGTTGCCAAATTCAGTGGAGAGTTACGTAGTAAATACCCACTTTACTTTATTGTCAGTTACTCTTCTCCAGAACATTCATCTGCCAGTTCTTTACTAAGCTCATATGATTTGTTTTTGTTTGCGCAGGTGAAATGTTAACATCTTGACAGTAACTCAACCTTCCTATTAGACTTATTGTTCGGAAAATCGCCGGAAGTTGCACCGCAACAATGTGAGATCTCAGCTGATTATAATGTTCAACGTCACTAGTAGTTTCCGCTTGGCGCCTAACGAGAGTCTGACGTTGAAATGTCATTAGTTGAGTCTTCAGTTACATGACATCAGGTTTGTACGAGTCATACACACTAGCGAACCTGGTGAGATAAACTGCTCCCATTACAACAACGGGACTGTCTGCAGATTACCGGCGATGTCGTGTCAGTAGTAACTCGGAATGTGTGGTCTCCTCGCGAAGAAAACATTTCAGTGAAGCAGTAATAAACAATGACGAAGTACAAACTTATAACTGATTAATGGCTTCTTGGTGCTACCAACAAATTGATTCTAATTAGAATCTGTCACTGCTTTGACAAGTTTTATATTAGTTTCTTAAACTGTGAGCCCAAACATTGATCAAACCGACATTCCAAAATGGATAACAAGACTACTCCAGAAGTTAATCAACTCGTGTTGACAATCCCACAATCCCAGCTCCAATCAGACCACGCAAGGTAGAAACAAACATTTCGATTCCCTAATTGAAAGTTCACCCCGGGCCGAACCTCCACGTACGCCGTCGGTGTTAGCATAATAAGACAGTCTATAATCACACGCTACGAACCGGGTCCTAATCTTATAATCGCCGAACTTTCTGATTACACAGGCCTGTAGTGTTTGGTATAAAATAAAAAGTCGGAATATAATGTGAAATTGATTGGACCCTAGGTGGGGCCGGATGAATTATAGCTTAATCCGGATAGACAAGATCGTACGTAATTGTACGCCATTTTGATATCCCGTTAATTTATCGGCTCTCATTATTCAAGCCGTCAGATTTGTTGCGTTTTTGTTTTCTTATCGCCGCCGGATTCCACAGTAAACACCATTGTGATCTTTAATGGTCGCATGTTAATGAGCCCGTACCCACCCCTGGCAGTCTGTTCTACGTAGGATTCAACTGGTGCGTGTTAGAGTCCAGCGCCCAGCGGCTAGCGGCTAGCAGACGTGGATGCATTATTCATAATCACTTGTTTCTGAACCTCCGGAGAATGTAGCAAGTACCCACGGAGATTATCTTAGACCTGGTTTGTATTTTGTAGTAGATGTCTAAGTGGCCATAAAACTAACTGAAAGATACCTCACGTACGTTTGGCAGTTCCACATACTGCTTTACGAAACTATTGGCATGGTTTTTACCGATTGCCAGACTTGATATCATGGAATTTGAGTTACTAGAGGTCGTCCAGTGGTCGAAACTCGACCAAAAATACGTAATGTACTTATTTATCTATTTTCACCCCACACTGTAAATGAAAAATGTGATTTGAGTTTCTTCCATTTGTTTTGGTTTTCTGTTTATATTTCGTTGTTATTTCGTTACCAGCATGGCAACGCATAAGATCCATGTTAATATTTTCAAATTTTTAAACTCATTTTTTGTGCTTATCTTTGAGCCTATTTAAATTTATAAAGGTATTCTGCACACCTACAGGAAAATAGTTTTCTAACGGTATGCGTGGATTTTACCTACGATGAACACGAGCTGAGAAAAAAGGTTTTAAAGAAACATGCTTGCCTATTAATATATAGACTAGAGGTCGTCCAGTGGTCGAAACTCGACCAAAAATATGTAATGTACAGACTTCTTTATTTTCATTCCACACTTTGAATAGAACATGTGATTGGAGTTTCTTCTATTTGTTTTGATTTCCTGTTTATATTTCGTTGCTATTTCGTCACCGGCATGGCAACTCATAATATCCATGTTAAATTTTTCAAAATTTTAAATTCATTTTTTGTGCTTATTTTTGAGCCTATTTTAATTTATAAAGGGATTCTGCACACCTACAGGAAAATAGCTTTCTAACAGTATGCGTAGATTTTCCCTACGATGCACACGAGCTGAGAAAAAAGGTTTTAAAGAAACATGCTTGCCTATTAATATATAGATAGATTCTTAGGTAATTAATTGTGCACGTAGGTCTATTGCAGGAACTCATTTCCCGTTAAATCCCAGATCTTAAATGAACCCAGAGACCTTTACATTTTTATCTACAATTTATCCAAAGGGATCTTGGCACATACTATACAGGACGAGGCATTTCAAACCATACGAGGAATTCGGCATCCTCCTCTTCACAGTATTTTCTATTCAAGAAACACTTGACTGGAATTTACTTCTTGTTATGTACCCAAGGAAGACCTAGATTTCAATTGGTTTACTATTGAAATTTCTCAAACCTTCTACACTTTCCTTCTAGAATCCCAACAATTGAAGAGATAACAAAAACTATCCTTAAAATCTACACTAAAAAATAACTTTTATTATTAAATATGATTCATTCCACGGTCAATTTTATATTATCTTTGCATTTATTACGTATTCTGCGAAACTTTCGCAACCCTAAGAGCCAGGTAACCTAACCTCCTCCGGAACCCGACTGGACAGACCGGCCACAAGATGGCCGCCTCTTGGTCTGTTATTATTATGATTATTGTGGCCCAGGGAGTGGAGAGCGGCCGCGGACGAGACAAATTACTGTAAAATCGTGTAATAAGTTAAAGACCGGCTGCAGTTGGACGACAGTATGACAGGACTTGGACCATGCTAGGTTTATGGGGCGGAACATTCCTGTGTCTGAGAAGATGCTGACAATTGCAGTCAGCAGAAAAGTTATCCAATGCGATGTGACAACTAGTACTACTTGTGTGAAAAATACAATCTATACTAGAAAGATGCCATGGTGGAATGACAGAAAAACTGTATTTTTAGGTTAATCATTTTGCAGAGAAAGAGACGTTTTGTTGATGTCATGGAAATCAACCTTTATTTTACTAAATATCATTACAATCTATGTTCTTTTGTCTTTCTGGGTCTGAGACTATTGAAATGAAACATTACTCTCGTAGAATAAAACGTTTTTAATCCATGGGTTTCAGACTGGGATATGTGAGATAGGTAGAAGCAAAATTTGTAAGTTAAGTATCAGTATGGATACGAGACAGAATAAACAATAAAATACATACTTGCCCATTGTTCCTCGATTCAGGGAAATCATACTACAATAGTTATTTGTGCAACTAGTGAGCAATAGCACTTTGCACTCGAGTTGCACATTATATTTTTCATACAGTTACTATAAAACAAATAAATTGGTAAAGAAACGTGAAATATTTTTACACAGAAGTGAACTTTTAATAATATTACATTTAATGATACAACAGTACAACAGCTGACCAGCTGATTTACAGCCAGTGCTGCCAACGTATTTCGCGCACATACGACCTTGTCTGCATGTTACGCGCTCACTATTTCGTGCCTTCACGTTGCAAATCTGGAGTGAGTGAGACAAAGCATAGAGTGAGACAATGTTAACATTGTCTCACTGATGAGCGAATTGGCCACTTTGCTTTCTCAAATCAGTGAGAGAACATGTACATTGTTAGGTAACTGTAGGAAAATGATATTTTCATCATCCTGTCCAGAAAACAGCCGTTCTCTAAATCAACCGTAAAATTGTCTCTATCACGTTCTTATTTTATTAATATTCTTTACAATAAGCAATCAACTTAATTTTCTTGTCTTTATGTATTACAATAAGCAATCAACTTACTTTGAGGACGTTTTCCTAACATTTACCTCCCAGCTGTCTTTCCCTGTACCTCCCACAAGTCTAACTTCACGCTGTTGGATCAGGAAACACTAATTTAAAATCCATCGAAATTTACTTAAAATACAGGAGCAATTTACAA